CCATGGGTATTTCAATCAAGGCCACTGTTTCTCTTTTTATGGTCTGACCATCCGGTCCACTCCAAATCTTACGGTACTGGGTCTTAGGTTGGATGCTTTTTTTTAGAGGTTTAGGTTGGCTGTTTGATTAGGGCATATCCCACTTTAGGTAAACCAAGCATACCTACATATAACTTGTCATTATAAAAAATGGAGATGTGCCCAAATAACTACTCTTTTCTTGTTGTGTTTGGTTTGACAGAAAAATAAAGAGAAACAGAAAGTTGGGGAAGTTCTTTGACAAATTTTGTTAAACAATTTCCCTTCAACTTCTTGTTTATCTCCTATTTTAATCCATGGGGTACCCCTGCCCTGTCTCCCTCAAGGCCTAAAGACTCAATCAAAGGTCTTCCCTTTTCTCGAAAATGACCTTGACTCGTTCTCCAGTCGTCCATTCCCAGGAAAACAACAAAGTAGACTCATTTTGGGACATTGATTTGGATTTGCTTTGGAGTTAGAAGGGAAAAGTAAGGGAGTGCAGGTCATCACCTTTTGCCGCGTAGCTTGTTGGTTTCCTGTTTGGATTCTCCAAATTCCAAAATATTAATATTGCACTAATAAGAAGATGAAAACACAGTAAGACGTGGAAAAGTCGTAGAAATTGAATTCAAACCCAAAGTTCCTCTCATGAATCTATGAATGTGGTCAGGTTGTTGAAGAAAGGTAAACAAATAATTCTCCATTGGGCCCTTGTGAGATAAGCAATCGTTGTCCAGGTTGCATTTTTCTTTCAAATGACTTGTAATTTGAATACATGCTTAGTGACTTCATGGAATTCTGGCTATTAACTGGTCTCCATCTCATCGTCACAAGAAAAGAAAATTCAAAACTAAGTTATTGAATTGGAATTTCTGATACCCAATTATTCGAATTGGATTTGTATACACGTCCCATTACTGTCCATTTTGATCTAGACCTGCTTAGCCACCTGGCATGCAGTTTAGAAAAATATGATCAATATCCTCTTCATCTCCACAAAACGGCCACCCCCAGTGTCAATATTCATCCCCGAACTTCTCAGTCTTAGCGTAAGGCGTAATTGTAGGAGATCCGGACTGAACATTAACGATCATCAAAAACGTGTAGACAGGGGTCAGCGGGTCAGGCCCTACTCCGATCATTAATTCTTCGTTCTTTCCAAAATTCAAAATCCATGCTTAGTTGTAGTCTTTAAGCTCATCTTCCTAAATTCAGAGAGTTCATTCTTTTGTTGCCATGGCCTCTTCCGCCCTCAATCTTCTTTTCTTCATGCTTCCATTTTCTCTTCTATTCATTTCGGCCACTGCTCAAACAAACATGACCTTAGGCTCATCCCTTTCCACGGCTGACGGCTCCGGGTGGCGCTCSCCTTCCGGTGAATTCGCATTTGGGTTTCGTCTCGTTGGGGATACCAACCTCTTCTTGCTTGCCATTTGGTTTGACAAAATTCCTGAGAGAACCATAATTTGGTATGCAAATGGAGATAATCCAGTGCCGCAAGGATCAAAGGTTCAACTGACCAAAGATGGCCGTCTTGAGATAATTGATCCTAAAGGCCAACAGATATGGAAGGCTGTTCTTCCATCAAGTTCTGCTGGAATCGCTCATGGTGCAATGCTTGACACTGGCAACTTTGTTCTCGTATCTAGCGGGAATTCTGGCTATGCATGGGAGAGTTTTGACAACCCCAGTGACACTCTGTTGCCTACACAGAAGCTCGAAGTGAATGGAATGCTTTCTTGTCGACAGGGGACCAGCTTCAACAGGGGAAAGTTCCAACTCCGTCTGCTCCCTGATGGAAATCTGGTGCTTAATACCATAGGCTTGCCAACCACCGCTGCCTATGACGCCTATTATATCAGTGGAACTTTTGAGAGAGATCCAATGGACTCTGGTTATCGATTGGTGTTCAATGAGTCTGGATACATGTATATCCTAAAAAGAAACGGAAACACAGTGATGCTCAACCCAGAAAGTGTGCCTCCTTCAATCTCTGATAACTATCACAGAGCAACACTTGATTATGATGGGGTTTTCGTGCAATATTATCGCCCAAGGAATGGCAGTGGAAGCTGGAAATCGTTGTGGATAATTCCTGATAATATTTGTCTCACAACTCCGAATAAGTTGGGAAGTGGTCCTTGTGGCTACAACAGTTACTGCAGACTACACGAAGGCAGACCTGTTTGTTATTGCCCACCTCAGTATTCCCTCGTAGATTCAAGCAACAGCTTCAGTGGTTGCCAACCAAACTTCCTGCCAGATTGTGTTCTGGGACATGGGCCCGGAAACCCAGAGGACCAATTTCGGTTCGAGGTGATGAGTTTCGTTAATTGGCCATTAGGTGATTATGAAAGATTAGATCCTTTCACTCARGAAGAATGTGAGRAGTCTTGTTTGCATGATTGTCACTGTGCAGTCGCCATATTTGATTATCAAAGTTGCTGGAAGAAGAAGCTGCCACTCTCGAACGGAAGGTTTGACAGCAACGAAATTGGGAAGGCACTAATCAAAGTAAGAGTAGGTGATCCTCCTCTTCCACAAGGTCCTAGTCTTCCAGCTCCAGAAGCAAAGAAGAAAGATGTGAATAAGACGTTGATCCTTGTTGGGTCCCTGCTTTTAGGTGGCTCCGTATTTGTCAATTTTCTATTCATGGGTGCAGGAATTATTCTTGCTGTTCTCTATACAAATCGCAACAAGCAGAGAAAAGTTCCATCAGAAACCAGTGTCTTGGAAACAAATCTGCACTCTTTTACTTATAAGGATCTTGAGGAAGCAACTGATGGGTTCAAGGAAGAGTTGGGAAGAGGTGCTTTTGGCATTGTTTATAAAGGGGTTTTGGGAACAAATCCTATAAATTCGGTGGCAGTGAAGAAGCTAGACAAAGTGGTTCAAGAAGGCGAGAAAGAATTTAAGACTGAAGTGAGCGTTATTGGTCGGACCCATCATAAGAATTTAGTCAGGTTGCTTGGATTTTGTATGGAAGGACAGCATCGGCTCTTGGTGTATGAGTTCATGAGCAACGGCACTCTAGCAAGCTTCCTTTTTGGAATTTCAAAGCCTGATTGGAACCAGAGAGTTCAGATTGCTTTCGGCATTGCAAGAGGGCTCATGTACTTGCATGAGGAATGCAGCACCCAGATCATCCACTGTGATATAAAGCCTCAAAACATACTGCTAGACGATTATTACACGGCTAGGATTTCCGACTTCGGATTGGCAAAGCTAATGATGACGAACCAGAGTCGGACTCGTACAACCATCAGAGGAACCAAAGGTTACGTCGCACCTGAATGGTTTAGGAGCATGCCAATCACCGTAAAGGTTGATGTATATAGTTATGGAGTCATGTTGCTGGAGATTATCTGTTGCAGGAAGAGCGTCGAGCTAGAAATGGGGTCTGAAGAGGAAGCAATTCTAACAGATTGGGCTTATGATTGCTATCAACATGGGAGGTTAGATGCTCTGGTGGAGAACGATACAGATGCGATGAATGACATGATTAGGCTAGAGAGGCTAGTAAAGGTTGCAATTTGGTGTATTCACGAGGAGCCATCACTGAGACCCACCATGAAGAAGGTTACACAGATGCTAGAGGGCATTACCGAAGTTTCTATACCTCCATGTCCGTTTCCCTTCAGTTCAGCCTGTTGAGAATTACAATTAGCTAGCTGTTCTTACGTTACTGCTATAGTCGGGGCTAGCCCGGCCACCACATAATTCCTTTCTTAACTAGTAATTATTTGTTTAGTACTTCTTTACATTCCTCTCTGAACTCTCCCAACCAGTAATTAGTTTGAGTTGTTTAATCTGAGAGATTAGTGTTAATTAAAGTTTGTAGAAGCTAGGAAGAGAGTCTAATTCAGAATTCCATAAACTTCAGCTCAACAGCGGAAGGCTATCATGTCCTTGTTTCCTTGCATCTACTGCAAACAATGATTTGCAACGGAGGTCTTTGTTGATGATGAATGGATTTTAGCTCGAGTCTTCAAGAAAGAAGAAAAAACAATGAGTAAAGCTAAACAATGATTTGCAATGGGCCTAGCCATAGAAAACAGACCCGCACCAAACGACAATAAAGTAAAGAAATCAGCCCAAAAATAACTTGTAGAGTGAAGTGGGGTTCATGAAGTGAGGTATCATCAACAATTTGTAGAGTGAAGGCGTATCATCAACAATTTGAAAAATTGATGAGCAAGTGTAGCAAGCTTACCATAGGCCAAAAGGTGGATTGTTTCATCAGTGGGCTCAAGGAACCCACCAGAATAGATGTTCAAGCTGGACGTCCCTCCATACTCATTGCAACCATAGCTTAGGCTCATCTTTATGAWACATGACATCAACCTCTTAAATGGCTAGTTGTAGCAGAACCAAGGAGTACATCATAAACAATTAATAAGTTGGTTTTGACAACCATCTTAGTTCGTTTTAACCAAGTTAGTGCCATCACAGAATTTCTATTTTAGTTCATATTTATCAAATTAGTGCAATTAGGACTTTYTCTTTTGAAGAGATTTAGTAGGATTATAATAAGAAGTGTTTTATTAGATTCGGAAACTTCCTTGTAGGAGCCATAAGGGTGTAAAAAAGTCTATACAAAGAGTAGTTAAGGAAAAACTATGACAAAGTTCATCGAATAATTGTTTTTTCTATTTTTTTGGCTTTGGTTCTTTTTTTTGAACCTTCTCTAAACGTGATTTATATTAGAGCTATGCCATTTGGTATTCAAATACAAGTTTGATCMTTCTTTGGATTATGRCTCCTAAGAAGAAACAAGTGGCTTACATTATGGAGCAAGAAATCAACAATAAAACATAAGAGGAGGTGGCAGGGTTAAGAAGACAAGTTGATACACTTACTCAAGAGTTGAGATCACTACTTTCTCGTTCCAAAATAGGGGACAACGGCTCTGATGCAAGTGCATCTATTCATTC